CCAGACCTGCTGAGCTTTTCCAGCAACTTTGTTTTTGTTTCAATATCTCTTGTTATCCAGAGTTCCCAATTCTTGCCATCCTTCTATCCTGATAGGAACATGCCAGTTCTGAGCTCTGATCAACCGGCCTTTAAAAGAATCCCACGTCAGATGTGGATTTACTTTTAGACAGCCGTCTCCCAATCTAATTTCTCCAGTTCCCACCTAATGCTGTTGTAATTAGCTCTCTTCCCACAACCTCGCCATTTAGAACTTTGACCCAAGAACCAGCCTTATCCTTATCCATAACTGTCTTAAAGCTTGCTGAATTATGATCACTGTTCTCAAATTGCTCCTCTACTGAAACTTTGGTCACCTGGCCAGGCTCATTCCCCAATACAATGTCTAATATGGCCCCTTGCCTAGTTTGACTGACTATCTGTTTCAAGAAACCCTTCATGATGAACCTTAAAAATTCTACCCCATCTAAGCCCCTGGCACTAAGGGAGTCCCAGTCAATATTGGGGTGTTAAAATCACCCATTAGAATAACCTTGTTTTTATATCTTTTACATCTTCCGTAGCTGTTCATCTATTTCCCATTGGCTGCCCGAAAGCCTATAGTGTAACTCCATTATAGTGATTACAACTTTCTTATTCCTGAGTTCTACCCATAGAGCCTTGCTGGATGAACCCACAAAGATCAGTAATGCAACTCCCCCGCCTCTTCACTTCTCTCTATCAACCTGGAACATTGAGTGGGCAGTCCTGCCCTTCGATCAACCAAGTTTCCATAATAGTAACAACATTGTAGTTCCATATACTAATCCAGACTCTACGTTCATCTTTCTTACCTGTTATACTCCTTGCATTAAAATAAATACACTTCAGATCGCCAGTCCCGTCGTGTTCATTAATCTGGCCCTGTTTTCTTCCTATTTGACTTACTCGAATTAATTTCTACCTTCACTGCACATGCTGACCTACTGCTGTGGTTCCCACCCCTCTGTCACACTAGTTTGAACTCTCCTGTTTGGGTGCAACCTGTCGTCCTTGTACAGATCCCTCTTGTCCTGGAAAAGTTCCCAGTTATCTAGATATCTGAAGCCCTCCCTTCTACACCAGCTCTTTAACCATGCATGTGTTATCTTCCTATTTCTGGCCTCACTAGCATGTGGCAAAGGGAGTAATCCCAAATAATCACAATCTTAGAGCACCAATATCCTTAAAGGGAAGTTTGTTAGTGTCTTTCAGGAGAGTTTAAAGTAGTGTAGCGAGGGGATGGGAGCCTGAACAGTAGTTCAGTATGTGCAGTGATTGAGGAAAAGGTAGAGGTTTCTAATAAAAGGTGAGAATAGAGATAACTGAGTGTCTTTGGGGTTGGCAAGCTGTAAGTGGTGGAGTGCTTACAGGGATCAGAGCTTGGGCCTTAACTGTTTACAATCTATATGAAAACAATTGGGTGAAAGGACCAGGTAAGTGGTCGTTAAATTTGCTGATGATGCCAAGATAGGAAAGTAAGTTAGGAGGTAGAGAGTGTGAAGGTATACAGACAGATTAAATGAGTAAGCAAAGTTCAGATTTTTTCCTGTGGCTGGGAGGCATCTAGAACCACAAGCAGTCTGGGAGTAGAAGGTAGGCCATTCAGGACTGAGAGGAGTATGGTGTTGAGTCATTGGTCTTTTTCACCCAAGAGATTCAGTCATTGAGTATGATCAAGACAGAGATTGATATATTTCCAGATATTAAAAATATCAAAGGATGTGGGATTGGTGTGGCTTTGAGGTTGAAGATCAGCCAAGATTGAATTGAATGGCAGAGCAGAGTTGAGGGGCTGAATGGCATACTCCTCCCATTTGGTTGATCCTAACACAGTAGTACAGAGGGATCTGCATGTTATTGTACATAAATCACAAAAGTTACGGTTTTGGTTCAGTCATTATTTTGTTAGTACCTAGTTAGAGTATTCAATCTTGACAAGCACTTTTGCCTCCAAGTCAGAGTTTGCCGGTTCAAGTCTCACTTTGGGGCCTTGAGTACAAAATCCAGGCTGGCACTCCTGTGCAGTACTGAGGGACCACAGCAATGTTGGAAGTGCTTTGTTTTGGTGAGACTTAAACAGAATTCCCATTTGCCCTAAAGCAAAATGCTGTAGATAGTGGAAATCTGAAATAAATGCAGGACACATTGGTGGTCTGGAAGCCTCTGGACAGAGCAACGGAGTTAATCTTTCATGAGAAGTTTCAGCAATTGCACCTTTGGTGGATGTAAAAGCTTTTCCGGATCTATTGAAAGGTTCATCGGGGAGGGTGGGGTTTGTTGGGGGAAAGAGGTCTTCGCAGTACCTTGGTAAATATGCCTCAATCAACATTACTACCTCAGGTTATCTGGTCAATTCATAGAGTCAAACACCACTCAAACAGACGCTTCGGCCCAACCAGTACATGCTGAACATAATCCCAAACTAAACAAGTCTCACCTGCCTGCTCCTGCCCTGTATCCCTCCAGACCTTTCCTATTCATCTACTTATCCAAATGTCTTTCAAACATTGTAAATGGGCCCACATCCATCAGGAAGTTAATTCCACATGCGAACCACCCTCTGTAAAACATTTGCCCCCATGTCTTTTTTTAAGTCTCTCTCCACTCACCTTAAAAATGTGCTCCCTAGTCTTGAGATCCCTCATCCTAGGGAATAGACACCTACCATTAACTCTATCTATATCTCTGATTATTTTATGAACCTCTATAAGGTCACCTCTCAACCTCCTACCTCCACTGAAAAAAGGTCCCAGTCTATCCAACCTTTCTTTATAACTCAAACCTTCCATACCCAGCAATGATAAATCTCTTCTGAACCCCCTCCAGCTTAATAATATCCTTCCTATATCTGGGCGATCAGAATTGAACACAGTATTCCAAAAGAGTTGCTGTTTATGAGAGATTGTGACAGTTTGTGCACAGCATATAAACAATATGAATTAGAAGGAGAAGTATATAATTTGGCCCTTCAAGCCTGAAATCACAGCTGATCTGTTTGAATTTCGAATTCTACATTGCCATGCACCTGATAACAACCTTTATTTCCTTTACCTGACAAGAATGTATTCACCTCCGCCATAAAATTACTCAATATCCTGCTTCAACCACCTTCTGAGTCATGCTTTCTACTTTATAGCAGTGATTGCTTCAAGAAGTATTTGTTAGGATGCCTCAAAGAGATTTAGAATCTGAGGATGAAAAGTGTTATATAAATGCAATTTTTTTTAAACTTGTAATTGACAGTCGTCTCTCTAGTTACATTAGATAAGCATAGAGATTAGTTCTCGTCTTACTAAAATGCAAACTGATTCAAAGTTCAATTGTTTCCACCAGGTTTACTAGCTAAAAAGGCCATTGAGGTAGGCCTGTCTGTTAAACCCTACATTAAGACCAGCCTGTCACCCGGAAGTGGGATGGTGACATATTACTTGAATGCCAGTGGTGTACTGCCTTATCTGCACAGTCTTGGGTAGGTGCTTTCAAATGCTCAAGGCTAGTGAAGTAAAGATGATTCTGAATTAATTTCTACTGTTAAAGTGAGAAGAAGTCAACTATTCATGTTCGTGGTAGTTAGAGTTCACTCCCTCAATGTGCAGTTGGGTCTGTTGCAACTTTTATAATTTCAAGCATGCATCTCATTGTGCTCAGATCAGAAATCACACGACACCAGGCTATAGTCCAGCAGGTCTATTTGAAATCGCAAGCTTTCAGAGCACAGCCCCGTTGTCAGGTGCAAAGAGAGAAGAACACCCAGACACAGAATTTCTGGACAGAGATCAAAAGATCATACAAATAGTGTGAGTGGAGTGTCGAATAATATATCTCTGCAAGTGATCAAAAGTGCCAGACAGTGTGAGTGTCAATATGAATTAGAAGGCGAAGTATATAATTTGGCTGAATACAGCTGAATAACAAGCGAAGGGATGGCCTACAGTGCCACCTTCGAGATGCACAACAACGCAGAATCGCCGAGCGGAAATTGATAGCCAAGTTCTGTACCCATGGAGACTGTAATCTTGGATTCATGTCATGCTATATGTGGTCCCACCACACTTCTGTAACTGTAAAATCTTCTTTGCTGTCCTGTTTTGACACCATCACCTTGATAAATTGTTATGATCTCTCTACTTTAATTAGGTTGTACAGTTTTTGGATTACTTATTAGACCCTCGGCATACGACTCTTATACTGATCGTGTTATTCCGGTCATTTGGTTTGTCTCCAACATCACCTTATTTTTTAAAATTTTGTAGTTATCTTTCTGCTTCATTTAATTGGATTATAGGTCATCCCTTCATTTGTTATTCAGCTGTTGACACTTTATTTACACTGCCTGACACTTTGGATCACCTGCAGAGACTCTACTCACCATTTTTATGATCTTTTGATCTCTCTGCCATTAAATTCTGTGTCTGTGTGCTTCTCTCTTGCTTCACCTGACAAAGGGCTACACTCCAAAAACTTGTGATTTCAAATAAACCTGTTGGACTATAACCTGGTGTCATATGACTTCTGACTTTGTCCACCCTAGTCCGACGCCGGCATCTCCACATCATTGTGCTAAGAGAGAGACATCATAGAATTCACTAATGCCACAAGTACTGAAAACAACGTCGTGCATGGAGACAATGATTGAGCTGCTGCCAAAATACAAGAATAAGGTGTTTCAGGGTTGAAAGCTGAATGTTCCGCAACTTTCACCAGTGAACACATTTTAGGAAATCACATTCTTCTCTTCAGTTTGTACAAATTAACATAACATATCTGTGGAAATGCAGTGCACATATCACTTGTTTGAAAACTTGTGCTGAGCAATGATACAGTACTGGCTTATGTGTATGAGCCATCCCATTGCCTAAACAATGATGTTCTGATTGGGAGGAATGATCACTGATACCTCTGCATTGGTAATTATAATGTGTGTTTTCAAAGAGTAAGCAACATTTATATACTGTTTTGAAATAGGTTTGAAGTTATTGGCTATGGCTGTGCGACCTGTGTTGGGAATACTGCTCCCTTGCCAGAGTCAGTTGTTGCTGGTATCCAAAAGGTAAAATCTGATGTTTGCTTTGTTTGTGTTATTGCCCAAAGGGGAGTAGCCTTTACAACCGTGTATGCTCATCCATTGAGATCATGTTTCCAAATATCACTTAACATTCACTTAATGATTTCATTGCACATGGAGAAAATGTGCAATATTATAGGCACCATTTGGAAATGTTCATGGACCGGCGTTGGGAGACTAGTCCCCCAGAATTATCAGCACTTTTTTCAAATTTAATTACTCTAGTTACATTGAGTCTCTGTGAAGGTGCAATTATTATCATTGCCATCACAGTTACTGCATCTGGATTGCATGCCCTCTTACAATCTGAAACTCTGTGGGAACTAAAGTTTTAAACTGTGTTCCATCCTATCATTCCCTGCTCTATTCATGTGTTTATATTCAAGAAGATTTTGTTTGTTCAGTTACAGACAGAGTTTCTCTTACCCTCATTTTTTCCTTCTTGCTCCCTCTCTGCGTGGTACAGGGTGACCTTGTGGCATGTGGAGTTCTTTCTGGAAATAAGAATTTTGAGGGTCGCTTCTGTGACTGTGTTCGAGCCAACTACCTCGCCTCTCCTCCATTAGTTGTAGCATATGCCATTGCTGGCACAGTTAACATTGACTTTGAAAAGGAGCCTTTAGGTGAGTGTTTGATCTACTGGTGGATCTTTGCACATTAAGTTCTTTGCCTCTGGTTCATTTGAACAAGATGGAATTAATATTTTGCTGTTACTTTCAAGGTGTAAATTTTGACGGGAAGGAAATCTACCTGCGTGATATTTGGCCCAGCAGGGAAGAAATCCATCAGGTGGAGGAACAAAAAGTGATCCCATCCATGTTTCAAGAACTAAGAGTAAAAATAGAGGTTGGTCAAGTCATGGCTGAACTACTCAGGTCAGGTGAAAATCCAAGAGACCCTGGTTATATAGGAACAAGGAGCAGAAATGTGCCATTCAACCACTTGAGCTTGCTCTATCATTTAACAAAATCCTGGCTAATCTGATTGTGATCTGAATCTAAATGCCCACCTCTTATTTTTGATCCTTGCATGAATGGAAGCAGCTTTTGCCCTACCTACTGTGTCCAGACTCCTCATGATTTTTAATGCCTCAATCAAGTCTTCTCTCAAACGTTAAAGGTGTGGATGGTGAAGAATTTGTTAAATGTGTTCAAGAAAATTTTCTTTATCAATATGTAAATTGGATCCCCTAATAAGACAGGGCAAGTGACTGAAGTGATGGTAGGGGAACACTATGGATCGAGTGATCATAATGCAATTTGTTTTAAAATAGTTATGGAAAAAGATAAACCTTTCATGAAAATTAAAACTTTTAACTGGAGAAAGGCAAATATTAATAGTATGTGTCAAGAACTTTCAAAAATTGATTGGAGTGGGCTGTTCACAGGTAAAGGGACATCTGATAAATGGGAGCTTTCAAAAGTGTGATAACTAGAGTTCAGAGTCATTATGGAGGGAGCACATTACTGCAGATAGAGTCATACAGCACGGAAACAGACCCTTGGGTCCAACTAGTCCATGCCGAACATAATCCCAAACTGAACTAATCCCACCTTCCTGTTCCTGGCCCATGTCCCTCCATACCTTTCCTATTCATGTATCTATCCAAATATCTTTTAAATGTTATAATTGTACCCGAATCCACCACTTCCTCATTTACTGAAAGTATATACCAGTGAAAAGGAAGGACTGTAGGAAAAGGTGTAATCAGCCAGGGAAGTAAGCCAGGGATATATCCCTTAGGAAATAAGGGAGGCTATCAAATTGAAAGATAAGACATATAAAGTGGCAAAGACCAGAGGAAAACTAGAAGATTGGGAAAACTTTAAAGGTCAACAGCCACAACAAAGGCTGTAACAAAAAGTCAGATAGATTGAGACTAATCTAGCTGAGAATGTAAAGACAGATAGCAAAAGTTTCTATAAATATATAAAATGAAAAAGATTGGCTAAGGTAAACATTGGTCCTTTAGAGGATGAGAAGGGGGATTTAATAATGGGAAATGAGGAAGTAGCTGAGGCATTGAACAGGTATTTTGTGTTGGTCTTCACAGTGGAGGACACAAATAATTTGCCAGTAATTGATGACAAAGACACTAAGGTAGGGGTGAGGACCTAGATACGATCTTTGTCATGAAAGAGGTAGTGTTGGGCAAGCTAATGGAGCTAAAGATAGACAAGTCTCCTGGCCCTGATGGAATGCATCTCAGGGTGCTAAAAGAGATGGCGGGAGTTATAGCAAATGCACTCGTAACTTTCCAAAATTCCCTGGACTCTGGGAAATTCCTGCAGGTTGGGAAACAGCCAATGTGATGCCATTGTTCAAAAAAGAAGGTAGACAAAAGATGGGGAATTATAGGCCGGCTAGCTTAACTTCTGTAGTGGGGAAAATGCTTGAAGAAATAGCAAGACATTTAGATAGAAATTGTCCCATCGTGCAGACGCAGCATGGGTTCATGAAAGGCGGGTCATGCTTGACTAATTTCCTGGAATTCTGTGAAGACATTACAGGTGTGGTGGACAATGTATTTGGATTTCAAAAAGGCATTTGGCAAGATGTTGCACAAAAGGCTGCTGCATAAGATGAAGGTGCACGCGTTACAGCCAATGTATTAGCATGGATTGAGGATTGGTTAACTAACAGGAAGCAAAAATTGGGGATAAATGAGTGCTTTTATGATTGGCGAACAGTGACTGGTAGCGTGCCTCCAGGATCAGTGTTGGGACCGCAATTGTTTACAATTTACATGGATGATTTGGAGTTAGGGACCATGTGTAGTGTGTCAAAGTTTGCGGATGACACTAAGACGAGTGTAGAGCAAATTGTGCAGAGGACTCTGAAAGTTTGCAGAGGGATATAGATGGTTTGAGTGGGTAAAGGTCTGGTAAGTAGAATTCAATGTTGATAAATGTGAAGTCATCCATTTTGGTAGGAATAACGGTAAAAGGGACTTACTTGAATGGTAAAAAAATTGCAGCATGCAGCTGTGCATAGGGACCTGGGTGCCCTTGTGCATGAATCACGGAAGGTTGGTTTATAGGTACAAAAGGTAATTAAGGCAAATGGAATTTTGTCCTTCATTGCAAGAGGGATTGAGTTTAAAAGCAGGGATTTTATGCTGTGGCTGTATGGGGTACTGATGAGCCACACCTGGAGTCTGTGCAGTTTTGGCCTCCTTACTTGAGGAAGGATGTGCTCGCACTGGAGTGGGTGCAGAGGAGATTCACTCAGTTGATTCCAAAGTTGAGAGGGTTGGCTGATGAGGAGAGGCTGAATAGACTGGGATTATATTGATTGGAATTTAGAAGAATGACGGGGGATCTTGTAGAAACACACAAAAATATGAAGGGAATAGGTATGATAGAAGCAGGGAAGTTGTTTCCACTGGTGGGTGAAACTAGAACTAGGGCGCATAGCCATAAAATTAGGGGGAAACAAATTTAGGACTGAATTGAGGAACTTCTTCACCCAAAGGATTGTGAATCTGTGGAATTCCTTGCCCAGTGAAGTAGTTGAGGCTTCCCAGTTGAATGTTTTTAAAGCTGAGCTAGATAATTTTTTTGAATAGTAAAAGAATTAAGGGTTATGGTGAGTAGGTGGGTGAGTGGAACTGTGGCCAATGAAAGATCAACCATGATCTTACTGAATGGTGGAGCAGACTCGAAGGGCCAGGTGACCTACTCCTGCTCCTGGTTCTTCTGTTCTAAGTTCATTCCACACACGAACCACCCTCTGTTTAAAAAAAAAACAACAAAATTGCACCTCATTTCTTTTTTAAAAATCTCTTCTCAGTAGCTTTCAGTTGTTTCAGCGGCGGGAGTCTGGGAGGAAGCGCGAGGGCAGCCTGGGAAGGTAAGCTTCCACCCAATAAATTTGGGAGTTAACTAATACCCAAGACACTACACGCATAGTGTCTCCCACCTTTCCACCTCCTCTAACCTAATAATAACGACTAAGTGTGCAAAGCAGGTAAGCTATTTGCATTTTTTTTCCTCATCTCTTTGTTATCTTTCAGGGTGGTCACCTAGACGCCAAATCCTCTGGGAGCGGGTCGGAAGGCAAAGCCGGAGTCTGTTTGAGTATATAACGGAGTAAACTTACTGGTGCAGCGAACACTGAGACTTAAAAAAAAAACTAATTAATTTTAAATAATTAACTAAGTAGAGATGGCTGGCCAGATGATGTGTTGTAGCTGTATGATGTGGGAGCTAGCTGATCCCATTGAGAATGGCAGTGACCACATCTGCAGCAAGTGTTGGCTGCTTGAGGAGCTCCAGCTCAAAATTGATGAGCTGGAATCCGAACTCCAAACACTGCGGCACATCTGGGAGGGGGAGAAATACCTGGATACTGTGTTCCAGGAGGCAGTCACACCTGGTAGATTAACTAATGTTAATTTGATCGGCGGGCAGGGACAGCAGTGTGTGACTGCGAGTGAGGCAGGTAGAGGGACCCTGCAGACAGGAACACAGGAGCCGCAGCCCTTGACATCGTCCCACAGGTATGAGGCACTTGCTCCCTGCGTGGATGAGGAACAGGGCTGCGGGAAGGATGAGTCAACTCTCAATGGCACCATGGTCCAGGAGGCCATTCAAGAGGGGGGAGCAAAAAGACAGATTGTAGTTGTAGGGGATTCCATCATCAGGGGGATAGACAGTATCCTTTGTGAGCAGGATAGAGAATCCCGCATAGTGTGTTGCCTGCCTGGTGCCAGGATGCGAGACAACTCTGACCGGCTTGAGAGGATACTAGAGAGGGAGGGGGAAGGATCCAATTGTTGTGGTCCACGTAGCTACCAACATCATAGGCAGGACTAGGAAGAAAGACCTGTTTCGGGATGATGAAAAGCTAGGAACAAAATTTTAAAAACAGGTCTTCAAGGGTCATAAACTCTGGATTGCTGCCCGAGCCACGTGCAAATTGGCATAGGGAGGCGAGGATCAGGGAAGTAAACACGTGGCTAATAGAGTGGTGTGGGAAAGAGGGTTTCCTTTTCATGGGGCACTGGCATCCGTTCTGGGACAGGAGGGATCTATACCGCTGGGATGGACTCCACCTGAACAGGGCTGGGTCCAGTGTTCTGGCAAAAGGGGTAAATAGGGTGATTAATAGGACTTTAAACTAGTAAGTAGGGGGGAAGGGAGAAGTGAGCGTACAGGGAGAATAACAATTAATGAAAGGCAAAGCAGCAGGTTAGCAGGTGACAAGGAAGCTTCAACTCCATTGAAAATTAGGAAAAAAATTAAAGGGAAGGAGAACGCCAGAGTTGTTAGTAATGGAGGTAATAGGACCCAAAAAGAAGGTGCAAAAACTGGCATAAGGGCACTTTATCTGAATGCTCGGAGCATTTGAAACAAGGTGGATGAGTTGACGGTGCAAATCATGGCAAATGGGTATGATTTAGTGGCCATTACAGAGACATGGTTACAGGATGGTCATTACTGGGAGTTAAATATCCAGGGGTATCAAACTGTTCGGAAGGACAGACAGACAGGAAGGTAAGGGAGGTGGTGTCGCTCTGATTTTTAAGGATGATATCAGGGCAGTAGTGAGAGATGATGTAGGTTCTACTGAACAAAGTGTTGAATCCATTTGGGTGGAAATTAGGAATAGCAGGGAGAAGAAGTCACTGATAGGTGTGGTCTGTAGGCCACCAAATAACGACATCGTGGTGGGGCGGGCAATAAACATAGAAATAGCTAATGCATGTAATAATGGTACAGCAATTATCATGGGGGATTTTAATCTACATATCGATTGGTCAAACCAGGTCGGTCGTGGCAGCCTTGAGGAGGGGTTCAGAGAATGCATCCGCGATAATTTCCTTGAACAATATGTAATGGAACCTATGAGGGAGCAAGCTATCCTAGATCTAGTCCTGTGTAATGAGACAGGAATAATTAATGATCTCACAGTTAGGGAT